GGGGGGGTGGACGGACACAAACCTGTACTATCTGTTACAGTGTGTGTACAAAATGCACCACCGCCCCCACCTCAACCCACTCCGTGCATTTGAACACTTGGTTGTCAGTTGACAGGGGATGTTTTGGGACCTGGAGAAGCTTTAGGGCAGTGGAAGGACTTGGCTGGTGGGAGCGGATCACTGGAAGGGGGATGTGATGGGCCACAGGCTGCCTCTGCTTCCAGCCAGCACTCTGTTTTCCAGCTACTAAAGATGTAGCCAGCCCCCTCCCACTGGGGTAGACTTTACCCTTTCAGCCCATGAGGCACGGTAGAGTCTCCCCCAAGTTGTTTCTGTCAGGAATAATGTGACTGCCGAGAGAAAAGTGACATCTTTGTCCTTTTCTGACCCTCCTTCCCCTTCCCCGTCCCCTTCCTCTTTCCCCTTCCTCCTCATCCCTGTCTTAGTCACTGGTGTCACATACCGAGGCTCTGCTCCCTTCCACTGGACAAAGAAAATCAGCAGAGACCGGTCCTCAGTCACGGGAGACAGGGCGGATGTCAAAAGGTATGGATTTAAGCGCCTGGACCACCCAGTGTTAGTCATGAACACAGGTGCTAATTCGTTCACTCTCAGATGTCAATTGTCTCTAAATGTAGCTTAGGAGTTCCCTGGAAACAAGTACAAATACAAATGGGGCTTTTTGTTTGTTGTTGTTGTTGGTTTGGTTTGGTTTTTTCTTTTTGTTTTTCAAGACAGGATTTCTCTGTGTAGCCTTGGCTGTCCTGTCCTGGACTTTGTTTTTGTCTTTTTTTATTTGTTTGTTTTTCAAGAAAGGGTTTCTCTGTGTGTAGCCTTGGCTGTCCTGGAACTTACTTTGTAGACCAGGCTGGTCTTGAACTCAGAGATCCACCTGCCTGTTTCCTAAGTACTGGTATTAAAGGGTGGGTTAACACTGCCTGGCTAGACATACAAATTTGACATGAGCCGAGTGTCATGGGATTCAGTTCTAGGCTTGACTGCAGATTGACACCGGATAGATTACATTGTCTCCCCTCACTGAAGGTTCTTCTCCGAGACTGAAGGAAAGCTGCCTACCCATGGTGTCTACCCCTAAGCCACTATATTTCCTAAGGGACTTCAGGGTCACATTTCAGCGATTCTGTGACATTCTCAGACGTGTATCAGAAGCACAAATCCAGGGCTGGGATGTGTAGTTCCGTATTAGAGCACTTGCTTTACATGTTTGAGGTTCCAGGTTTCATCCTGGAGAAGGAGGAAGAGGGAAGGGGAGGAACAGAGGAGTGGGAGGAGGAGAAGGATGTGGAGGAGGAAGAGAGGCCCAAAGACCAAGAAGACAGTAAAGAAATCCACTATCGCTTCTGCTAGTGACGCCCTTTGGAAGAGCGTGTCTGATTGGAGGATTTGTCATCTTGGGAGGGTGGAGAGAGAGCACTAAGTCAGGCACGTGGCATTCTTCAACGTTAGGCACTGGCAGTTGTGAGAAGCGAGAAACATTCCGCCTGGTGCTTGCCTCAGAGAGGAGGAATTGTAGAGGGGTGGAGGAGAGGGCTTGCCTCTGTTAGAGAAGTGGGCATGGCTGGCTGCTGGAGCGAAATGATGTATCCTCTGGGCTCCCTATCCCCACAGCCTCCTTTGTGGGGAGGCTTTTAGTACTTGCCACTTTTGCTTTGAGCTTCCCTTACTTGGGACCAAGTCCCTTTTCACTAAGAACCTTTTGGGAGGGAAGTGCTGTGCCTTAGTCATCTTTACAAAAAAAAAAAAAAAAAAATGCAGGGTTTCTATCTTCTTTCTTTTTTTCAAGACAGGACTTCTCTATGTAGCCTTGGCTGTCCTGGACTCGCTTTGTAGACCAGGCTAGCCTCAAACTCATAGAGATCTGCCTGCCTCTGCCTCTGCCTCACAGGCTCACAGGTGTGCACTGCCACGCCCGGCTTCAATGTTTTTCAAAGACTGCAAATGTTTGCATTGGAAATTAACAATAGTGTGTCTAAGGAATGTACCCTGGGCGCAATGAGGAGGAACAGCAATAGTGGAATCAGCCACGTGCTGGTTCCGAGCATATGCTTGCTACTGACTTGATGGTACAGCATTGTCTAACGTCACAGCCCTCCACAGCTGGCATCTCCCAGTCCCCAGCCCCTGCTCAGCTTGCCACCATTAAGTGACAGTTAAGTGCAGGAGGCCCAGGCAGGCATCTAGAGAGGGCCTGGGAAATGCGGTTATAGGTACAGACAGGGTCATACAGAAGATGTACTCACAAGATGAAGACATTTTATTTTCACGTGAGAAGTGAGACTGGGCAAAGATGTATCCTCCACTGTGATTTAAGTCATTTTGCCCTGGAGTGTCATATCTATAATAGAATTCTAAAAAGAAAAGGTTGAAAACACAGCCCCTTGCCTGGGAATGATGAATGTCCCTACCTGCCCCTTCTGGGGTCAAGTGAGTCTCACCTTTCGGTGGGTTTTCATCACAGACTCTTTGGGAGTTGTGAGTCTTATTGCCACAGTCCTCACATCTGTTACTCTGTAGTCCAGGAGCAAAATCAGAGGAGAAGCTGGGCCCTGGATCGGAACCTAAAAAACAGAGCATAGGTTTGTTAGGCATAGTCCTGAAAAGTGTGGCGAGCAGAGCACTGGGCACACTGTGGGCTGTGGAGATGCTAGGGTAGACCAGGGGAGCAGGGGATTAGAAGTGCAGGGCTGGGCAGGAGGACATGTAAGCGTGAATCACAAATGGGGTGAATTTGAAGACCTGGGGGTGAAGCCTGGCTCTGCCACTTACTTAGTAGCTGTGGTGGTTGAAAATGTCTCCAGCAATTCTTTGACTCTCTCTGTCTGTCTGTCTATCTATCTATCTATCTATCTATCTATCTATCTATCTATCTATCT